GACGCCCCCCCCCCCCCCCCTGCACCATTCCACTAACGGGAGCTGCCGTCAGCCCAAAAACACCAGCCATGGCAGACCTGGTGTAATGATTCTGGCCAATTGTGGGGCTACTGGGCCCAGTCACTGACCAGCTCCCCTTACCCAGGGCCCTGGCTAGATCCGAACCAGGGCGCCACCGGCCGATGCCTGGCTCGACTCGCCACTCGTGGGCGGTGGCAAGGGCGACGCGGGCGGCCTCCGTCTGGGCGGCCTCGTCGTCGTTGTGGCGTTGCAGTTGACGATGTGCTTGTGCGAGAGCTTGGGCTCTCGCGCGGACGGCGGCGCGGCTGGCGTCGAGGCCTGGCGCGTCGACAGCCGCAGCTGGTGGGCTGGCAGCCGCCGGGGGGAGGCTGCCAAAGCCGACGAGGCCGACTTCGTGGACGACCCAGGGCACAGCGCGCACGAGGGGGTCTCGGCAACTGGACTGGCACCAGGGCGGTCTGGACGGCGCGGTCCAGCCGACCGTGGCCGGCGTGGGGGGCACGTGGTGCTCCCACGGGTGGACCTCGGCAGCGTTGGCCGCACCTCTGGCTGGTGGGGGGCCCTCCTGAGCGCGAGGGCCCAGAGGCACCCCTGGCCCGCCCCGTGAGGGGGTGCTCTGGAGGCCGCGGGGGCCTCCGTGGAACTCCCGGGGGCACCCTGGGCCGGGGGCTCTGCAGGCAGCACCAGGGAGAGTGGGCCAGGACACCCGGCGGCCCTGGAGGGCCAGGCTGCTGCCTGGCCTGTGCGCGTGGGGCCAGGCTGCTGCTGGCGCCTCGGGCGGTGGCCTCGGGGGGGTGGGCGACTCGGCCCAGGGCTGCAGGTGGGCGCCGCATCCCGCCCACGGGGCGTGGTCCCTATACCGCGCTGTGGCCCTCTGTGGGGGGGCCTCTCTGTCCTCGGGGCGGGATTGCGCGAGGGCGCCGCGCGGCCGCCATGGGCCATGCAGGGGCCGGCGTGTAGTCGTCGTCGCGTTGGTTGGGAGAGCCGCGGCCGAAAGGATCGTGGTCGTCCTCGGCGTCGGGACAGCGGCTGCCGCAGGCTTCCTCGGGGGGGTGGGGCCTGGCTGCTATGTGATGCGGTGGTGGTTGGCGCTCTCTGGTCGCGCGAGGCGCCCCGAAGCGCAGGATATGTATTGGCTCCCCTGGCCGGCGGTGCCCCAGCCTGCGTCTGGTGGGGGGGGGGGTGGTTGGTCGTCGTGGCGTTGGCCGCGAGGGTCTCCCAGGCCGAGTGGGCCGTGGTTATCTTTGGCGTCGGGGTATCCGTTGTCGCGGGCTTCCTTCGAGGGAGGCTGGCCTCCGTGTGAAATGGTGGTGGCGGTGGTGGCGGTGGTGGCTGGGTGGGTGGTGGGTGGTCGCGCGAGGCCACCCGAGGCGCGGGCGTCGGGCTCCCCTGGCCTGCAGTGGCTCGGGCCTGCGCCTGGTTGGGGAGGCGATTGGTCGTCGTCCTCGTCGTGGACGTCGACGTCATCGTGTTGGTTGAGAGTCTCATGGACCGAGAGGATCAGGGATCACCAGAGGCGCAGCAGAATCAACGACGAGGCATCGGCGGCGCCGCGGCGAGACCGCGGCGAAGCGACTGGAAGCTCGGCCCGGCCTCGGCGCGCGTCACAGGCGGCGCTGTGCAAGACCTCGCTCGGGCGCCCGCCACTCAAGACGTGCTCTTTCATGCCCTGGGCCAGCAGGATCGTGGTCGTCCTCGGGGTCCAGAGGGTCGTCGGCCCGCAAGCATCCTCGAGGGCGGCCGGCTGGAGGTCGGCGTCCTGGCCGTCCTCCGGGGGCGCCACGAGGCCGCCGCCGATGGCTGGGCGGGGCCCCCTCCGACGGAGCTCGACTCTGCGCACGTGCCCTGCCGGGCGGTGCCGAAGGGGGGCGGTGCGGGCACGCCTGCCCCGTAGATGGCGACAGCCACGCTGCTCAGCGCAGCGGCGAGCTCGCGGCGACACCTCTGGCCTCCTGGGCGACCGCCGCCGGTGGGCTGCGCGGGGCCCCCGCCCCTCGTGCGGCGAGCTCGCCGGCGTGACGAGCCGAGGTGCGCCGCCGCGGCGGTGGCGAGGCCGGCGCCGATGCCGGCTCGGCCGAGGTGGCCGCCCGGTTTGTCGGCACGAAGCGCTCGTCGGGCCCGGCCTGGGCGGCCCCGTGCGCCCTCGCGCGCCGGCCGCCCCCTGTAGGAAGGCACCAACTATACACCAACACCGATCCTGGCCAGGATCGGTGTTGGTGTATAGTTGGTGCCCTCCGACCCTGCACCCACGTGGCGGGCGGAGAGGCCCGTCGGGGCTGGCCGGGGAGCGCCTTCGACGGCGGCCCTGGTCGTCGGCGCAGCCGTGGGCTGGCCTCGCGGCTGTGGAGGCGAGGCGGAGGAGGACCACCGCTTCGGCGCGCCCAGCGCTCCGCGTCAGCTCGTGGACCCTGGCCGAGGGGGTGCCCCCTGCCGCAGCACGGCGAGGGCGCTGGACGGAGAAGCACCTGGTGAGAACTTCAGGCTCTGACGATCTGGTGGAGCACCCATGGGGCGACGATCAAGAACGGGTCTTGCGCGAGGTGGCGTAGCGACCCTACGCCGCGGCTTACGCGGGCCGCCGGCGCGGCACGCCACCGTTGAGACGAGTGGGCGCCCGCGCGCGACCCTTCGCGGGAGGATTACGCGCGAATGTCGGCGCAGCGGAAACCGTTTTTTTACGTCGCGCAACGGAGGCTTCGCCCAGGTCGGCGCAGGTTTTGGCCGTGGTCTCCATCCTCGCCTTCTTGGGCAGGCCGCGGGGGATCGGCTGCGGACGCGGGCCGCGGGGCAAGGAGGCCGGAAGATCGAGCAGGCGGGGGTCTTCCTCGATGGGGCCACGCGGGGCGGCGGGGGAACGTCTCACGGCGCCGGGTAGCCGTCGACCGCCACAGAGAGACGCGGGGGGTACGTGCGCGTCGTACAACCTCAAGTGAGTTATAGGAGTCGGCGCGCCACAGGGAGAAGCAGTGTCGGCCTCCCATTCGCAGTTGTAGTCATAGAGGGATGCTGCGAAACAGGAGGAAGAGTCAGAGAAGAGAGACTTAACAGTGGAGGAATAGCTATCACTACCACCACCACCCCGTGACCCAGGAAAGAACGAGAGACAGAAATAATGAGAGAGAGAGAGTGAAAGAAAGAGAGAGAGAGAGATGGAAAAAATACCCCAGTGCGACCCTACCTAGGAGTTGGAGCCCCTAGGAAAGCAGCATTAATAGTGACGGTAAACGCCGTCCTCCTCCTTCTCCTCATCGTCGTAGTTGCCTTTGCTTTTGCTTAGTGTTGCTTTTGCTTGGTTTTGCTTTTGCTATGCCTTCGCGCACACACACACGCATGGTTTTGCATTCGCTCACCGGGTGGGCTCTCTGATCGGCATTTGTCGCACATTGCTTTTGCTTTGCCTTTCCTTTGCTTTGCTTTTGCTTTTGCTTTGCTTTGCTTTGCGTGGCTTGTGCTTTGCTTTGCTGTTGCTGCTGTTGCTTTGCCTTTGCTTTGCTGCTATGTCATGCTATGCTATGCTATGCTGCACTATGCTGTGCTATGCTATGCTATGCTATGCTGCGCTATGCTGCGCTATGCTATGCTACGCTAGGCTGCGCTATGTCATGCTAGGCTATGGTATGCAATGCTGTGCTATGCTGCGCTATGCTACGCTATGCTGGGCTATGCTATGATATGCTAAGCTAAGCTAAGCTAAGATGAGATAACCAACGCTAAGCTAAGGGGACGTAACTGGGGGAACCGCGGGGCGGATACTGGGGGAACCGCCCGGGGCGCGTTCCACTGCCCGGCCCTTTAAGCACACCGAGTAAGAACCCTTCTAGGCAGAGCCTGGGTAGGGAACAAGAAAGTCATGATGGCGAATATGAGAGAGACAGAGAGAAAGAGAAACAAACAAACAGGGCAGAAGGAAAGGAAAAGCACTAGCGTCCAGAAGCAATGACGACCTACAGGAGGGCCCAAGAGGCTCCCAAAAAGGCCCCAAGAGGGGGAATCCGCACTACCATTTCTGGCCCTCTCCTCAAGTATGGCCTCCGAGACCGTCAGCAAGCCCTCAAGAGGCCCCAACAACGACTACCCCGAGAGGCCCCTGGAGGCCTCAGGAGGCGCCCCGACTGCCTGAAGAATACCGCCAGAAGCCTCCCAAGAGAACCCCAAGAAGCCTCCCCAAAGCTTGCCCACGACCCAGGCTCGGTGGCGAAGCTGTCACCTCGTTCTGCCCGAAGCTGGTGAAACCCTGATGGGTCCCTGTGCCCTCCAGTGGTGTCCTCCACCCCTCCGTCCCTTTCCTCACTCCCACCTCGTCCTCTCCTCTGCACAACGAGCGCTTTCGTCCATCATGTGGGGGCATCTTTCGAGGCGGGTCACGGGGAATCAGCATGAATCGAGTCGAGGGCACCCTCGCACTCATTCACAGGAGGGCGCGACGATGCACCCACGTCTATCCTTACCACGAGTGCGCTCTGGCTAATGTCGCCGAGGCCCCCAGCATGCCCACAGAAGTGGCTCAACATAACAGCAGCGTCTCTATGCGTTGTGAATTTGTTGCCTTCTTGTCTTTTAGAGCTTCGATCGTCAAAATTGTGTGTATGGGTGTATGAGTGTGTGTGTGTGTGTGCATGAGTGTGTGCGTGTGTGCATGTGTGTGTGTGTGTGTGGGTGTGTTTGTTTGTTTGCTTGTGTGTGTGTGCGCGCGCGCGAGCGTGTGTGTGTGTGTGTGTGTGTGTGTGTGTGTGTGTGTGTGTGTGTGTGTGTGTGTGTGCGTGTGCGTGTGCGGGTGTGCGTGTGCGTGTGTGCGTGTGCGTGCGTGCTGCGTGTGCGTGCGTGCGTGCGTGCGTGCGTGGGCGTGCGTGCGTGTGTGTGTGTGTGTGTGTGCGTGTGTGTGTGTGTGTGTGTGTGTGTGTGTGTCTGTGCGTGTGTGGCGTTCCGTTGAGCGTTGCCCTCAATATGCCCAGCGTCTGCTTCTCCCCCACGCGAGATTTCCGCAACTGCTCGGGGAAAAGACCGCCAGCCAGCAGCTTCCCACTCATCATTCGGACTAGCTACTCCATAATTTTAAGCTTCGGGGCACGGTCGGACCTAGGACAGAAGGACATGATTCAAGAACATGAGACCCTCTGCTGTCCCAAACAGCCCAAACCAGATGATCACCGAGGGTACCATTCCCCAGGATGCACAAGAACGTAAGACAAACACGAAGAACACTATGGGTACCCTCCCCGAACCGACCTCGATCTTATACCTTGGTCCGGCCGTAATACGCTGTGAGGAAGTCTTAAACCGAAGTGGAAGACGAGGGGCAGGACGAAGGACATCCTGTCGCGAGTGAGGGGCAGGGAGGCGCGCCAAGTGAATGCGAGGAGACGGCTCGGCTCTGCCGGGGCCAGCACGACTGCGGCGGCAAGCTGAAGCGGCCACGATCGCAGGGACGACGAGGACGAGAGAGCTTGGCCCCCTAACACCGTGCTTCGCGTTCTCTGGCGGCACACGAGGTCAAGTGGGAGGGGGCAAGGCTTCTTAGAAGGAGGCTACTTCTTGGAACGCGCCAGCCCCACACTGATAGACGACGCTCGCGCCTTCTCACGATTAGGGGTGCGTCTAAGAAGCCTTCCCCCTCCCCCTACAGTCGACCCGTATCATGCGGATGCACGATATGGATTCAAGGGTCTTGGAAGCCCATTTCGGAGCTTCTCGAGCGGGGCGCGGCCAATGAAAGTGGCCAAGAATGGACCGAGGAGGCAAGGATGTAAGGCTACCCTTGGGAAGGATGCCCATCCTTACCATGAGGGTCGACTGTACCCCCCTCTGCGCTTGGCCGAGCTTTACGGAGCGCGAAGCTTGGTTATCTTCGCGCTCTCGCGCCGACCCTGTGAGAGAGGTGCGGTCTCCCGCCTGGGCCACGAAGCACGAGGCGCGGCTACCTTCGAGCCCCATGCGGGTGACCTAGACGACGAGGCACGAGAGTAAGACAAAGCCAGGACGAGGACAAATTGGGTGAGGATAAACCGAGAATCTCTGAGATCCGGCGGCTCTGGAGGATGTCTCGGGCGCCGCGGCCTTCTCAGAGCGTTCCGGAACGCTCTGGAACGGATTTGTCCTCGTCCTAGTCCCGTCCGAGGAGAATCTGACTGAGCGTCTGTGGCCGCCTAAACTGAGCCCGCGAGCGGGCAGCAGCAGACACGCCTTCGCCTGCGGTTCGCTCGGCAAGGTTTAGGTCGGGCGTGTCCTCCTACTGGGGGATTTTGGGCGGAAGAAAATTATTTAAATATGCTTCAAAATGGTCTGGGACAGTCAACGCAATCGTCCCCAGACTTCAAGCAAGGTGGTGGCGGTCTGGGCGTCTTAAACTCCCCACAGGGGGGGGACTCCTTCGACCCAAGCTCCAGCGAGGGCGTCCCGCGAGGGCGTCAGGACGACGAGGAGCACGAGGGAAAGGAGGAAAGGAAGACCCCCCTCCTCCTCCTCCTCCTCCTCCTCCTCCTCCTCCTCCTCCTCCTCCTCCCACACGGAGGTTTGCCCCCCGGAATGGGCGTCCCGGGGCATCGAGAGTTGTACGCTGGTGGCAGTGGGTGGCCCATCTTTGCGGCAAGGTCTTTATCCAGATCCACTGCGTCTTGAAGCTTCGGGCTCCCCGCCTCCGATGCCGGAGCCGCCGATATGGATAAAACAATTTCGCTCCTAGAGGTCAGATCTTCATCCATATCCACTGCGCCGCGGCCTGCTGGTGCCCCTTCCCAGAAAGTCCAAGGCGCAGTGGATATGGATACGCATCGTGCCCGCAACCTTTTGGCCCCCTGGGGGTTCCTGGCGACCTGGCGAGGAATCTGGCGGCCTCTTGGGACCCCCGGGAGTCCCTGCGGGAACCTCCGGAGCTCTGGCGGCCCCTGGCGACTTCTGGGGGCCTCCTCTGATGGAGCACCGGCTGGGAGAGCGGCAGGCAGGGGGGGGAGGGGATCGAGGAGGAGGAGGAGGAGGCGGAGGAGGAAGAGGAGGAGGAGGAGGAGGAGGAGGAGGAGGCGGAGGAGGAGGAGGCGGGAAGGAAGGAGGAGGAGGAGGAGGAGGAGGAGGAGGAGGGGGAGGAGGAGGAGGAGGAGGAGGAGGAGGAGGAGGAGGAGGAGGAGGAGGAGGAGGAGGAGGAGGAGGAGGAGGAGGAGGAGGAGGAGGAGGAGGAGGAGGAGGAGGAGGAGGAGGAGGAGGGGAGAGGGGAGGGGGATCTGGAAGAGCGCGAGGAGAATGTGAAGTCGAATCTCGGCGCAGCCCTTCGCGCGGGCAGCCTGCGGGACGGGCTGGCGCAGCTGGACGAAGCCTGCCGGCGGCTGCAGGCTCTTTGGCCTTCCCCCATGCGGGGTGGCATCTCTCTCCTTACATCCCTCCTCGCAAGAGGAGCGGAGGGAGGAGGAGGAGGAGGAGGAGGAGGAGGAGGAGGAGGAGGAGGAGGAGGAGGAGGAGGAGGAGGAGGAGGCGGAGGAGGAGGAGGAGGAGGAGGAGGAGGAGGAGGAGGAGGAGGAGGAGGAGGAGGAGGAGGAGGAGGAGGAGGAGCAGAGGAGGAGGAGGAGGAGGAGGAGGAGGAGGAGGAGGGAGAGGGGGAGTGGGAGGAGGGGGGGAGGATTCCTCCTCGCAAGAGGAGCGGAGGGAGGAGGAGGCGGGCTCTACTTCAGCGGTGCCCTCTGTCAAGGGTGCCGCTGCCTGCTCTGCGGCCGAGGAGCTGGGCGTCCCGCCAGAAGCATCCCCTCCAGAGCCCCTCGGGCATCCGGCCCGAGAGGAGGGCGCCTTTCGGAGCCTTTGGAGGAGGAGGAGGAGAGGAGGAGGAGGAGAGGAGGAGGAGGAGGAGGAGGAGGAGGAGGAGGAGGGAGAGGAGGAGGAGGAGGAGGAGGGGGAGGGGGAGGAGGAGGAGGAGGAGGAGGAGGAGGAGGAGGAGGAGGAGGAGGAGGAGGAGGAGGGGAGGAGGAGGAGGAGGAGGAGGAGGGGAGGAGGAGGAGGAGGAGGAGGAGGAGGAGGAGGGGAGGAGGAGGAGGAGGAGGAGGAGGAGGAGGAGGAGGGAGGAGGAGGGAGGAGGAGGAGGAGGAGGAGGAGGAATAAGGAGGAGGAGGAGGAGGAGGAGGAGGAGGGAGGAGGAGGAGGAGGAGGAGGGGGAGGAGGGGGGAGGAGGAGGAGGAGGAGGGAGGAGGAGGAGGAGGAGGAGGAGGAGGAGGAGGAGGAGGAGGAGGAGGAGGGAGAGAAAGGAGCCACACGTGGGAAGACCTCGGCACCGTTGGCCGACCTGCCACCCCCTCCTGGGAGGCCGCGGCGAGGGCACGGGCCTCCCCGCGGGCGGGACGTCGGGCCGAGGTCGCCACCGGCGCCCCGCGCACGGGCTCGAGATCGAGACCGGAAAGATCGAGATAGAGATCGAGATCGAGATCCTCCTCCTGCGCCGCCGCTGAAAAGCGAGAGTCGGGGATCTACTGACCTGGGTCAGTGCAAACCCTGGCCAGTCAGGCCTTACTAGATCTTGCAAAATCCTGCAGGGTCCTGCTTCATCCTGCACGCTGGCCCGGGTCCGTGCACCCCTGGCGCTGCAAGATTCTGCAAGCTCCGGCGCTCTGACTTGCCCCCGTTTGCATTGACCCCCGTCGCAACAGAGGCCTCCTAGATGGGGTCCGAGTAGATGGGGTCGGAGGAGGGGGAGTGGGAGGAGGGGGGGAGGATTCCTCCTCGCAAGAGGAGCGGAGGGAGGAGGAGGCGGGCTCTACTTCAGCGGTGCCCTCTGTCAAGGGTGCCGCTGCCTGCTCTGCGGCCGAGGAGCTGGGCGTCCCGCCAGAAGCATCCCCTCCAGAGCCCCTCGGGCATTCGGCCCGAGAGGAGGGCGCCTTTCGGAGCCTTGGAGGAGGAGGAGGGAGGAGGAGGAGGAGGAGGAGAGGAGGAGGAGGAGGAGGAGGAGGAGGAGGAGGAGGAGGAGGAGGAGGAGGAGGAGGAGGAGGAGGGGAGGAGGAGGAGGAGGAGGAGGAGGAGAGGAGGGAGGAGGAGGGGGAGGAGGGGGAGGGGGAGGAGGAGGAGGAGGAGGAGGAGGAGGAGGAGGAGGAGGGAGGAGGAGGAGGGAGGCGCATCAGAGCAAACCTGGGATGCACCAGTGATGCTGCAATGCGCCCTCCCGTCCCGAAGTTCCCTCCTCACGGGTCCCTACGAGCATTCTTTTGCACTGCGGGGCGCGCGCCCCTTCAATGACGGGCGTCCGTGAGCCTGCCTCTGAGGCGAGGCCCCGCTTTGTGAAGGATCCACTCTCCGCCCTCTTAGTTCGGACAAGGTTTAGCAAGAGTAGGATGATAAAGGCCATGGAAGTGAACAACGACGGCCGCATATTGAAATGGACTTGCCCCCGCTCCGCGCAAGCGTTCCGCAACTCAAACATGTTCGACATTCAGTTTCTGGAGGACCCAGGCGAACATCCAACATCGGAAGGAGCGTGCCCTCATTTGGAACTGCGGGCCATAGACATTCAGGAAATCACAATCGGGAGCCACATGGTGAAAACGAGATGACCTCCATCCTCGAAGCTGTCGAGAGCCTGTAATTCGATTGTGCGCGGCCCTCTGGCGAGAAGCGCATTCTGACAGCCCCCTTCTCCATCCGTATGGATGCTGGAATCTGTTGCGACGAATGTGCGCGGCTCTACGGCGAGAGCCGCATTTCGAAGACGAACCACCCTCCCTCGTGGAAGCCGCGGAGATATTGAGAAACGATTGCGCTCGGCGTTCAGGAGACATTTAGGAAACTACTGACCCTCCATCCCTAGAGCTGCTGGGAAAATTGCACATTAATGTGCGAGGCTCGAAGACCGTTGGAAAACACCTGCCCTTCACGCCTGTAGTTGTTGGAAGAATTTGGAACGAAGATGCGCGGCGCCAAGGCGAAGACTGCATTCTACAACCACCCACCCTCCATCCTTATAGGTGCTGGTATGTACAGCTTCAGGATAAAGCGTCGTATGGAAGTCCAAGCAAAATGACCAGCTGGCATATGGACACATCTGGTGGTGCGACAGTCGGGGTAATTCATAAAGAGCAGGGATGATGGAGGCGGAAAGGGGAGAAGCATGATGGACGAGGATGAGGAAGAGGAAATGCGTAGCTTGCTATTAATTGGCGAGGAGGAGGGAAGATCCGGAGGAGGATGAGGAGGAGGACGAGGAGGAGGAGGAGGACAAGCAGGTTAGGCCACAGTTCAATCCGGCAAATGCACCGCGAGAGTGCGCGCGTCACCTCGAACTCCACGACTCCAGCGAGGTGCCGTCCTCCTCGTCGGCGCCGCAGGAGCCGCGCTTGCCCTCGGGCCCCGTGTAGTGGTCCAGCAGGGCGCCCGACAGGGCGTCGCGCAGCTGGCCGCTCTCCTCCATCCGGAAGAGCATCAGGTTCTGGACGGAGAACAGCGTGAGCAGGACAGCCAGCGGCAGCCAGAAGAGGGCCATCATCGCGCAGGCGTCGGAGTACCACCGGTCGGGCGCGTCCGTGGCCCACGGGCTGCCCGGCAGGAACATGCCCGCGAGCCAGGCGACCACCCACACCACGTACACCACGCGGAAGAGCCTGTCCAGACCGCTCAGGTTGGCACGGGTGCCCCTGCCGCGGCCCTGCTTGTACAGGGACGCGAGCCGCAGGAGCAGCACCGTCTCCACGATGGGGATGTTGATCGCGATGAAGGCGGTGGTCTGGAACCGGTCGATCCACATGTTGCCCTTGTCGGGAGGGCGCCTGTCAGTCGTCAGCAGCGCGACAGCCATCGCCGTCAGAGTGAGCGTGACGGCGTATGATATGCGATCGCTCGAGTCCAACGGCACGAAAAATGTCAGCCATGATAGGGAGACCAGCGCAATTGTCGGCAGGAAATAATTCACGACGTAGAAGTTGGGATGCCTCTTGAGCGTGATGCTCCACCTGACAGCGTCGAATGTGCCGTAGTCGCCACCGCCAGGCAGATGCTCCTTCACGTGCAGCAGAGTACCGTTGATATTTGTTATGTTCACCAAGAACTGCTGCGTGGGCAAATCCGCGGAACAAACCGCAGGGGCGGGCTTGAGTCTGTACATGGTCTCGGACCACGGCTGAAACGTGATGTTGCAACTGTTCTCGTCAAACGGGAAGTTGGAAAGGTCCTGCTTGCACTGTATCGCGAGCACACAGGCACGGCCCCAGTAGACGTTAAACGTCTGCCCCATGGTCTCGGCGCGCTCCAGCGTGAAAGTGTCGTCGAATAGCAGCGCGGGCTCCTCGCTGCAGGACTCGACAAAAGCATCGACCTTCTCCCTCAGGAAGACGTCCGGCTTCCAGATGTTCCCCGGGTCCAAGCTTACGTGGCTCTGCCCAGTGCTGGTCCAGGGCAGGTCGAGCTCGGCTGATGTGGAGTCGGAGCTTCTCCTGTGTGGAAACATCGTGGTGCCGTTGAAGGACAAGCGGGGGTCGTACCAGTACAGCCTCAGCCACGCGCAAAACATCACCACCCCGGAATCTGGGTCGACATTCATGATTTTCCTCAGCTTTACACCTATCAACACTGTAGATCGCGCTGGGAGCATGTCGCCGACCTGGATAAGAGGGGGAACCTCTGGGTCGTAGTCCTCGGGGATGAGGCCGTAGGGCCCCGTGCCAGAGTGCTGCACCGCGGCGCCGTCGGCGCTGTTGTCGACCTCCTCGCCATCCGCCATGGCCTCGACAGCCTCACTCGAGATGTCGGTGTCTTCGACGACCGCGGCATTCGTCAAGCCCTCCTCTGTGGTGGGACGCACAGGGACATACTAATACTATATGTATTCCTTGGAGGCGCGCGTCCGACCCAAACATGTAGTATACCCATCTTGTAGTATATCGTTTCCCGAACGGCGTGGCCAGAAAGCGCCCGCCACGACGCATATACCATAAGATTTCTCCGTACGCGCATCGCCCCCCGGGGGGCGACGCACATATAGTATAAGTATGTTGGGGTGACGCCGATGTGGGAGCAAGGAGACACCGCTGCCGCGGCCACGCGGTCCTCCGGGCGCGCCGGCACCAGGATCCCGCGGCGAACACCCCGCCGCGGCAACGGGGGCCCCCAAAAGAGCCCCAGGAGGGCGAGAACGAGGGCAGCGCATGGGCATCGGTGTGTGTGTAGGGTAAGGTTAACGTTTTTGATTCGGCGTTTCGACCTTGGGCGGAGGGGGGGGGAGGGGGAGGGGGAGGGTCTGGCTCCGGTCCTCTGCTTAGTGCGACGGTTCGCAACAGTGCGTCCACTATGGGGGAGACTCTTCCATCCGCTCGAAACAGGCGCCCGAAACAGCCAAGATCCACTCCAGGGGTGGGGGGGGCGGGGGGCGTTTTTTTTGGGGGGGCCCTCGCCGATCGGCAAAACAACCGATAACAAAAAGCTCACAAGTGTGCAAGTGTGTAAGTATGTGTGCGTGTGTGAATGTGCGTGCAAGCTCTTCAGCACTGCGTGCACCCCGCGCCCTCCGGCCGACTGAGGACCCGCCCGCCCGCGCCCTGTCTCCCCAATTAGTGCTTTGCGCGGCCCGCCTAGCTCTTAACCGGAAGAGGCTCGCTCTCGACCCGCAGACCAAAAAAGTGTGTGTGTGTGTGTGTGTGTGTGTGTGTGTGTGTGTGTGTGTGTGTGTGTGTGTGTGTGTGTGTGTGGTGGCGTGTGTGTGTGGTGTGTGTGTGCGTGTGTGTGTGTGTTGTGTGTGTGTGCTGTTTGTGTTTGGTGTGTGTGTTGTGCGTGAGTGAGTAAGTGCGTGCGTGCGTGAGTGAGTGCGTGCGTGCGTGCGTGCGTCGTGAGGTGTTGTGGTGTGTGTGTGTGTGTGTGTGTGTGTGTGTGTGTGTGTGTGTGGATCGTGTGTGTGTGGGTGTGTGTGCGTGCGTGCGTGCGTGCCGTGCTGTGCGTGCGTGAGTGTCGTGCTCGTGCGTTGCGTGTGTTGTGTGTGTGTGGGATGTGTGCGTGCGTTGAGTGCGTGCGTGCGGCGTGCGGCGTGCTGTGCGTGCGGGCGTCGCTTGTGTGTGGCTGTGTGTGTGTGTGTGTGTGTGTGTGTGTGTGTGTGTGGTGTGCTCGTGCCGTGCGTGCGTGCGTGCGTGCGGTGGTGCGTGGTTGCGTGCTGTGTGTGTGTGTGTGTGTGTGTGTGTGTGTGTGTGTGTGTGTGTGTGTGTGTGTGTGTGTGTGTGTGTGCGTGCGTGCGTGCGTGCGTGCGTGCGTGCGTGCGTGCGTGCGTGCGTGCGTGCGTGCGTGCGTGCGTGGGTGTGTGTGTGTGTGTGTGTGTGTGTGTGTGTGTGTGTGTGTGTGTGTGTGTGTGTGTGTGTGTGTGTGTGTGTGTGTGTGTGTGTGTGTGTGTGTGTGTGTGCGTGCGTGTGTGTTCTAGGTCACCTAACTTCGAGACCCGCGCCCCGCGGTGCGCGGCTCTCTTCGCACCCCCGCGCCGCCGCCCCGGAGCACGGCGCCCTCCCGGGCCCAGGCCGCCGCGCGATCGCCGCGCGATCGCCTCACGACGGCGACGACGACGACGACGACGACGACGACGACAAGGACGACGAGCACGACCAGCACGACGACGACGACGAGCACGACGACGGCGGCGACGAGCACGACGGCGAGCACGACGACGGCGGCGACGACGGCGACGGCGGTGACGACGGCGACGGCGGCGATGACGGCGACGACGCCAGCCACGCGCAAAAGCTCACGGAGACACGGCGCCTCCCGGTCCCAGGCCGCCAGCGCGCGCGCAGCGCCCCCGCGGGCGACCCCGAGTGCTCCTCCCCTGCGTCGCCGACCCTTCGGTGACGGACCTAGCATCCCAGAAGCCTCCAAGGCGGCCGAGGAGGCCCCGAGGACGGCCCAAAGGCGAGGCCTAGAAGGGCGAGCCCGCACGGACAGTTCGAGCTCCCGGCCCCAAGATGCCCCCAAGAGTCCCCAAAAAGCTTCCAAGAGGCCCCCAGAGAGCGTGGGCGATTCCGGCAACCCTGAACCCAAAAAGACGTTCTCGTCTCTTCGGGGGCCCATCTTGTACTTCCCCCGCCCTCCGCCGAGCTTCCGCCGGCCTCCGCCGGTCTTCCGCTGGCGGAGGCGGCCTCGTTCCACGTCCGCCGAGCTTCCGCCGCTTCGATCCTCGAGGGCACGGCCATGTTTGGAACGCCCCATATGACGAAAGCGGCGGCGGCCGCGGCGATGGTTGCGACGACGGAAACCAAGAGGTACCGATAGCACTAGTCCCTGGATCTCTCCAGGGGTGAGTTCTGACCACAACTTCGAGGCGAATCCAGCGGTGGCGACGAGGGCCTCCCAGGAGGCCTGAGAAAGGGAGAAACGAGAAGAGGGTAGCGGCACAGTAGGAACTCGACAGCAAGAAACCTTCCACAGGAAACCAACCCTGAGACCCCAGAACGCCCGTTGATTTTTGGTGTGGGAGCGTCACGCGTTCCATCGCAAAACCACTCAAACCCAAGAAACCCAGGGCACCCTGGAGGCAAGCAGGGTGATTCTTGGCATGGGTTCCCACTGCATGTTCGGTGCGCGGCCGCGCCCTGACGGCATCGCGCTTTGTACTTCCAGGCGGCCTGAAGCCCAGACAGCAATGGAGCGAAAGAGAGGCTGCACGTTTTAACTCGACTCCGACCCCCTGGGTAAGCAGACTTGATCTGAACGGGCGGCCGACACATGCGACCGCGCCCACTGAGTCCGCATGTGAGGCTTCCTGTTGGACACCATCCGCGCGAGGGGTTTACCGAGATGGGCACCTTGTCCTTCCCTGAGCCCTCCCCTGGGGAGACCAAAAGGTACCCATATCGCTACTCCCTGGACCTCTCCCGGGGTGCGTTCTGACCAGAATTGCGGGGCGAATCCAGCGGTGGCGACGAGGGCCTCCGAGGAGGCCCCCCAAAAAGAAAAAACCTGATATTGACACGAACCCCGACCTTGAAGGACAAGTGGACGTGACTTGCGAGGAAGAGAACAACAAAGAAGGGGAGACCTATACGGCACAGAATGCTGATTCCAATGTTGTCCGTTTGACGCTGCGCCGCTTGAAAGCGCATTATGATGGTTCCCGTGTTGACCGTTTGACGCTGTGCCACTTTGTCGGAGCGTTTCCGACAATCTTGGAGACCTGTTGGGCAGTCTTCGGGCCCTGGGGCGCGGCCATCTCGGGGCCCTCTTAGGCAGTCCTGGGGTCCTCTTGGTGGCCTCTGGGGGCTCTGTGGACACCTCTTGGAGGCTTCTTGTGGTCTCTTGGGGGCATCTTGGGGCCGCCTGGGGGGTTCTTTAGGCGGAGAGCCCACAATGTTGGTCCCTGCCCTCCCTCTGGGCGGCGGAACAAATGATGGTGCGTCTTGGGGGCGAGCTCAGCCCGTGACCATGCCTCCGAGGAGGCCCCAAGAAAAGAAAAACGGGCGGAGGGCAGGGGTACTCCGAGTTTCTCGATAAGCGTCGGGGGGGGGGGCGTCGCCCCCGCCGACAGCCCCACATCGACCCCCTGTCGCGGGCAGCCACCGCGCGCCGAGGGCGCTCCGACCCCCGTCGAGGCGCGACGACGAGGCGAGGTTGACCCCCGTGGGGGGGTCTCCCGTGGTGAGCAGGATTCGGTACCATTTGACAACATAAGCCTAACATGGTTCCGATCGGTGTGTGTGTGTGTGTGTGTGCGTGCGTGTGTGTGTGTGTGTGTTTGTGTGTGTGTGTTTGTGCGTCTGTGTGTGTGTATATTTTTGAATGTGGTTGTGTATGTGTATGTGTATGTGGGCGCGCGTGCGTGCGTGCGTGGGTCTCCCCCCAACCTTATCAAGGAACCCAGAGTACCTTTTCCTCCTCTGATCCTCCGCGAGGCCCACGCGCAAAACCACGGACACCAGCACCGCGGCGCGCGCCCAACGCGCGGTGCCCCGCGCGGCCCGGCGCCGCGCCGGGGGCGCCATGGGCCGCGCCCGCGCCGCGCGCGGCCGAAAGCCGCTCGGTGTGCCACGGGGGGGGGGGAGGGAGGAGGAAGGAGGAGGAGGAGGAGGAGGAGGAGGAGGAGGAGGAGGAGGAGGAGGAGGAGGAGGAGGAGGAGGAGGGTGTGGGAGGAGGAGGAGGAGGAGGAGGAGGAGGAGGAGGAGGAGGATGAGGAGGAGGAGGAGGAGGAGGAGGAGGAGGAGGAGGAGGAGGAGGAGGAGGGAGGAGGGAGGAGGAGGAGGACGACGGCGACGGCGACGAAGGCTAGACGTACAGGGGACATTCGTGTCGGTGACCTCACGATTCCTGTTGATGGGCCATCAGTTGCCTCGACTTCCGCGGCGTCCTCGGTGATGCGCCGCATAGGTCAAGCAATCCAGAGGGAATACGACGCCAACGAGACGGCAGATTGGAACACAGATCGACACTACTGGGGGGGATCTGGGTGGTGGGTGCTCCATCAGCACGATAGGAGGTGGCAGTGGTTGCCCAGAGGACAACGGCAAAGGAAAAGGGGCATACAATCACGTACAATTCGGGCATCAGTTGTTGAATGGAGATGATGCCCTTGTCTGCCGACTACTGAGGCAACGTGCGGCTAAGCCGTCCGTTGCCTTGGACCTGATCACATATTGGATCATGAACTTTAGCATGTCCTTGACAATGAGCGGAATCTACGGCTCAACCGCACGTTGCCCGTTGACTACATGTTCTTGAAGACCAGGACACTGCTGATAACAAAGAACATGCTTATGAACTGGCGCACTGTATTATTTGTGGGATACGGCAGCCTGCTTCGGCACGCTTCAAGAGCTCTGCCAGGAGTAGATGCCGTCCCGCCCCGTGCGCTGTAAAAGCGTTTTTGGGGGTTGGCGCCGGGGAGGCCAATGCGCTTGGGGATGACATGAGGTCTGGCAACTCCGAAGCGAGCTGAATCCATCCCTAGTCATCCTGCCGCGGGGGGAGTCTATATGGCTCCATCCTCGC